GCAATAAAGTACAGCAAAATTATTTTTACAGTCAATTCAATATGTTAAATATATGAAAAAATAAAAGCCTTAAATCAAGCAGGATCTCAATGTTTGCAGTTACCCATTTATTTTTTTGTTCATTTATTTCAAACATAAAACAAAAAGTCCATAAAAACCTAAGTGAATCAACTATTGAATGAAAAGATGAAAAGGATGCAGAAAGAAGAAAAAAAATCATATCTGCCTCTTGTTGAAAACAACTTCAAACAACTTAAACTTGAACAATCTCCATATTTGAGAAAAGAAAACAAAATATTACCTGTTAGTTTGTTCCACAAGTGATTGCTCGTGTCTTCGATTAAAGATGGCCGCCACAGCGCATCAACATTATTCAGCGCTGAAATGGCTATAATTTTACAGAGACAGAGCTAAAATCTTGTTGAGAGGACTCTGAGCTCTAACAGAAAATGTGAGATTTTTGGTTTAAAACTTTGGATTAAGAAAGGCAGCAGGATTTATGGATTCTTTAAAAAAAAAAGTGTTTGTCTTTTTATTTATTGACCTGGATCCACAACCAAATGTGCTTTTGTGTAAGTTTGATCATCTTGAGGAGGTTACATGTTTTTGTCTGGAGTGATCCATTATTGTAATTTGAAGCAGAAAATTCTTCAGTTAGAATGATAAGGACTTTTCCTCCCTCAGAGTTTCTGGATGTGGTTGGTGGTCTCGGTGGTGCTGGTTGGACCTCCTGCAGTTCTGCAGAAATGTGTTTTTGATGAGGTTCAGGCTCAGGTCAGAGCAGTGAGAGCAGCCAGTCAGCCCAGACTCCTAGCTCAGACCTCTGAAMGTCAAACCAGACAGAGAAGGCTGGTGGGCACGAAGAGGAGCATTCTGGGTAAGATGGTCCCATCTTCACCCTCGCCTCAGCCAATCAGGATAAAGACCTGGACTCTCAGAGAGACCTTCACCCTGTCAGAGGCTGAGAAGGAAAGACTGGAGGCTGCGGTGGAGGAGGCTGTGAGGGTGGTGTCTTCTTTACTTTCAGGTAACACACACACACACACACACACACACACACACACACAC